TCTAGGTTAGACCAGTGTTTCCCAACGTGGGGCTGTTGGGAAATTTTTGAGGGGGCAATTTGAGATTTGAAATGTTACTTCATATATTTCACAATATTCACGTGAACAAAATAGCAAAAATATTGCAATAAATATTATAATATAATATTAAAAATTATATATATGTTACATAGGGGGCATAAGAATTTTAGAAAGTCTTAGGTGGGGCATGGTACAAAAGAAGATTGGGAAACACTGCATTAGACGATTGTATCATACATTATTGCATCGACAATACACGGAACGATCTTCTAATAGATACAGACATATATATTTATACTAGATACCTAGATACCTAGTTGAGTCGTTACAGAATCCGCTAAATCTGCTAAAAGACGAGAATTACGGTCGCGACACGGTCCCTATACTTTGATGTCCGTAATAGGACCAACTGTAGCTACACGATATAAGGAACACAAGAACAGCAGCTGATACTTCCAATTATAAAAAGAAGAATGCTAGTTAGGAAGATCTATATCTCTACAAATTTCTACCGTTGCGTCGTTCGATTGTGCGCGTACTGTTGCGTTCTCAATGCCGATCTATAGAAGGTAGCTCTAACTTAGGGCACGCGACAATGAACGTTGTCACGCGACGTCCAATTAGGTCACAGCCTTCGTCCGAGGGAAATTGAAACGTGGCTGGCCCAGGTCGTTAGAGCACCCCCGCAAAGCGGTTTCACGGTGAATTTGCCGAATCTTCGGGTCAAGAATGACGGGCACAATGCCTGGGGTCGCGCGCTGCCGATCGACAATGAGATCGTTCCGTTCCGGTCATCGCCATTACGGCGAAAATGGCCGAGGGACAATTCTGGTTTGCTGCTGGGCAAATAGCGCACGTTAGGAGGCTAATAGAATTTAAAATTACACTTGGCAACTGCGAATGGCGCAAGTCTCAATGAAACGCGCGATAATTCATCGGCCGGCGTGACGTCCGTTTCTCAGGATTCACTTTTGAATGGAAATGGAATGAGCAACCTCGCCGAATTCGGTGGTGATTTCACGGTTCGCGTGAGTCACGGGTGTCGTTTGTGAATCAGGTCTCGGGGGATCCTGTGGATACGCTTATCGATCTTACTATCTCTATCGACGGACAGGTAAATGATGGTGAAGTCATTGAATGGTAGTCATTTGATATTATGAAACGATAATCGTGGAAATGTCAATGGAAATGTGTCTTTTATTAGTCGATGTAGTATTCTGTTTCTTTGCTCGAAATCGCTAATTGTTTGCTGACGAGTGAAAAGATTTACAAAGTCCTAGCTTATCGTATAGTTTATTACTGTATAGTTTCAACTAAAGCTTCCTTCCTACTCTTCTTCCATAGCAGAGTCTTGGTTATTTAACCACTTGCGCTGATAACGAATTCAGAAATTTGACACGAAATGAGTAATTTCAACTCATTTGGAAATTCTAGTAAAAATATACCTAATGCTTTAACACTAGAACCACCGAGCAGTGAAATTATTTACAGTAAAATTATTTATTGATTATTCTAAATTTCCTCATAAAACATAAAAGCACATTTCTCAAATGTCCTTACATCCTAGTTTCTATTTATCAAAATTCATTAAACAATTTCTCAGAGCATCCCTGCCTCCCCGTAATTGCGCAATAAGTGACACGAAATGAGTAATTCTAACTCATTTAGTATATCTAGCGTTAAAGGGCCGCAGAATTGTTATCGAGTACAATGTCTGCATTGGGTCGATAAGCGGTCGACGATAAACCTCTTCAATACAACTGCACCCTTTCCAGTTGATCGATCGCAATCTCGAGCTCCTCCCACCATACTCCGGTGCCGTCAGAAATTTTTCATTTCTGCTGAATCACGTCGCCACCTTTTGTTAACGAAATAAGCGTGCGGCGGTTGGGCTCGGCCACCGGGCAACGCATAATGCACCGGTTCACCGGTACCCCCTGATTTTCGTGGCTCGTGGGTGGTTCGCGAGCCCGATTAAAGTTGCGCGCGTGTACGCTCCAACGTGGATGCAGAGGGGGGAACGGGGGAAGGAGCGTGACAAAAATTGCACAGGATGCGGTCGCACGCGGCCAAGGAAATCGGCGCCGGCCGCGGCGGATCAAACGGCCGCAACCCTTACCGCCGCACTCCACCCTCTGCGGACTATTGTTCCGCGCAGCTGCCCGAGCCTGATTATACTGGATGCGTTATTCGGACGAATTGGCGTTCTGACCAACTCAATACGTTCGAGCAATGCGCATAGAAATCTCTGAAAGTCGCGCTGCGATTTTCAGAAAACTGAATTGCGCGGATGGCGATTTTCAGTGAGATCAACTTGTATCATTATATATGCAAAAACAGATATATTGTAGGAGAAAGAGAGTTTCATTTGAAACAGTATAATTATTTCGTGACAACTCACAATAAAACAATTAAGAAATCAAACAACTCACGCGCTATTTATACACTTAGTTGCTCTTATCTTACTCGCACACTTTCTAGAACATTCTTTCATTACCAAGCATTAACTACACGTATATTTGGAATATTCTAGGTTCATAAAAAACGAACATTATTAACACGTCGAATGTCATGGGAGTCACCGGTGACCCCCAAGCAAATCGAATTACTATGCTTCACTCAATTAAACGATGATTATTCGCAAACATTTCTATATTATGAATAATGTTACCCATTGCGGTGACATTCGGTTTGATGAACGTGCAACGATAATCCAATTCAGTCGAATGATTAAATATTGGATTTTTCCATTTTGTGTACTTTGCTCTGTGAAATCGTGCGGCGTTCGACGTGTTAACATAAAAATCAATATAGAGAAAATCAAATAGTTTAGGATATTCCAATGCTTTGAACATTCATTCAATACGCGCTCACGCACACAGTCTCGTCATTCCTATTGTACGCACATTCATCGCTCGTCTGTGTATTCTCACACTCAAATACATCCATTCCCACAATATTGTTATGTAATATACTTTAAATAGATAATAAATTCGAATCAAATTTAATATTTCTTTAAATACTGTGGTAATGAGCGAAGTTGCGTAGCTAAGTATCTTAAAAACAAGATTTCTCGTTGCAATGAGAGTACGCAATGATTTGACACAGCGAAACTGTAAACTTTCATATTTAATATTAAACTTTGTATAATGCATCATGGTTTTGTAATCAGCAACTGCTGATTTTTGCACTATCCCCAGCGAAAATGAAAAATGCTATAACATTTCTTAGATCGTTTATTTCCCTTCTGAGCACAGAATTCGGAAGTATGAAAAATCTAATAATTTCAGACGTTCCGACTAAGCGAACACTAAAACTCAGACAGGTGAAAATGACCCACCAATTTCTTCATTTCACAATTATTAAAAAGGTACCAGATTAAAAATCAATTAACACTAGAACTACCGAACAGTCAAACTGACTTTTCGAGATTCTTCTGCAGAAACTCCGTCAGTGGTACTACTGAAACTTCCATTGACTTACAATTCAGTTTGCCTGTCGCTAAAGTCGATTTCCACAGTAATTTCTCCTGTTTATTTCGACAATCATCTTTACAATAATTGTAAAAAGAACTTTCGACCTCTCTAGTGGTTCTAATGTTAAAACCTCGATAGATGCACTAGAATTCTCTATAGAGGAACTTCAAAAAGTCAAACCGCTCGGCAGGTTGCGACCTTCGGGTTTTCATTTATCAGAACGCTAGATCGCGTCCAGTGTAACTTAAAATTCTGATTACGCCGAATGCGTATTTGGACGAATCATCGGTCCGACCAGTTCGACGCGTCAAACCGATCGAACACGTACACGAACCTTTGAGAGTGGAATGCAACCGCAGTCCAATGCACTTTGCTCTTCGTGTCGCAGGACAATGCGAGGCGAGACGAAATTGTAAATATTATACCGCGAAAAATTCAAGCGAGTTCCCGTTGTTTGGGCAGCTTATCGCGCGAAACAGTTGGAAACAGCCGATAACGTTTAGCCGTCGCTTTGATCGGTAAACATCGACGGCCACGATAACGGAGATTCGAGTGTTCGATTTATCGGCGGATTTCGATGGTGCGACAGATAGCTCGGGCAACGGGGCAACTATGATTCGTCCGAACGAAATTGTTCATCGAAACTCCGAGCGATAACGATTAGGAGAAATCGTGGCGTTCCGTGTCTCGATCGTGACCGATTGTCTTTCTATTCGTTACAGACTTATTATAAAGTATCCCCTTGTATGTTGGCATGTTACTCGTTAAAACCGTACAAACTTTTCCATCTGTTGTAAATAAAACAATAAAAAACGAAGTTCAATCGGGCAACGAAACACTGAACGAATGTCCATGTAGCATTGGAATTGCAAGAATTCCACGTTAGCATTAGAACTGATCGAAGCTAGTCGAAACGACTCATTACTTCTTCGGAAAATTATCGAAATAGCTGATTTAGTAGTGCCAAAACTGAAATATGAACTGACCGATGAACAATAGATTTACCGACGTTTGTTGTAGTTTATTCTATTGTTCCCTGAAAGATTCACGTTCGTCCGTTTAGATCTAGGATTATATTAATATAGGATTAGTCCATCTTAATTATATGTAAAAATAGTCGCACTATCTTAATTATCCGTTTAGATCTAGGATTATATTATATATATATTAGAAATATATATATATATAAATTATATTATATTAATATAGGATTAGTCTATCTTAATTATATATAAAAATAGTCGCAATATCTTAATTATCCGTTTAGATCTAGGATTATATTATATATATATATATTTCATTATTCAGAAATATATAATATATTATATATTATATATATTTATATATTAGAAATTACATTTAATGTATATTATATATGATATACAGATATAGATACTGATGATACATTATCAGAGCCCATGTTCGGCCCTGATCCCGCGGTAGGGGATACACTCTTTTTTTGTTTTTATATCGACTATCGCAGCCATGGCTCGCTTCATTCGATTCCGAACGTTTGCCGGGGAACTTTGCGGGGGTGTGTAGACGTTCAAAGGTGACAAGAGGAAAATCTTTCGGTGCGCGACAATGGAAGGAGGAGGAACCGTGACGCTCCTCGTTCTCTCGATCCTCGTGGCCGTTGGTAAGTAAACGGTGTCACCGATGATTAACAAGATCCGTGATCCCAGGACAAAGTGGATCAACTTGTCGATCATCATCATTCGAGTGCCGAAGAGTTCTGGATACACGATGAAAATCCCGGGAACTATGAGTGCTCTTCGTTGTTTTTTTGGGAATACGATAGAACGGTAACGATTCACTCTTGTTAGGTACACACTGCGTCGGATTCAGCTTTGTTAGACATCACGATTCGCAATGTCGCTCGCAGCGGAATACGGGAATTGCACTAACAAGCAATTATACTAACGATTCGTTCGTATCGAAACGACTAGCTCTCCGATTTCGATGATGTTCAAGTATAGAAGAATGTAGTAATCCGAAAATTGTCTGCTCTCGTAGAAATGCCGGACTATTTCCGAGACGATCGTGAACCGTCCGATTCGAAGTGGAAGGAGTTCTCATCTCTAATGTTTGACTACATGAAAATCATAGTTATATTTCGTAACGAACGCGAGAAGCTTGAGTCGCCCAACTCAAAGCTTGAGTCGTTCGAAATGTCGGCTTCCAAAATACATTTGGACACTAGATTCACGGAACGCGCCGATTAGATGGTTAACCCTTTCCACTCGAGAGGCGACTCTGTCGCCACTTGATTTGATTTGCAAAATTATAAAGTCTTATATATAATATTAAGCTTTGTATCGATATATGGAATTGAAATAAAGTAACTTTCCTTCTTAATTTATACATGATTTCTCATTAATTAGCCTCAAAGGACATCTTATCGGAGAATATTGAATATTTCTAGTGAAAAACTTCCGAGTGCAAAGGGTTAAATTCGATAAGGTTCATTTGCGAAAGATTTACGTGAATCTTCATGCAGTTAGACAAATATGTATTCTAATTCTCCATCGTTGAAACAATTTCCAAGATCGAAATAAATGAACTTGCGCTTTCCTAGGACCAATGGAACAAACTGTACAGTAAATATCCGTGAGCCTAGTGTTAAGAATCATCGAGATCAAAGAGAGTAATTTATTCAAGCACTGATTTGCTTGAATCCTTTAGTGTCGTGCCACGTCGTCAAGGAACAGGACGGAGCTGCTCGGAATGTCGCGAGATTGTCACCGCAAGAGGACGCGAAGGTGCCCGATTACAAGTTCAAAGTCGTGGATCCTGCGACGAGCATCCCATGCATCCTGGCTAACATGAAGTTCCATCTACTTCTGTCGAAGACCAAGGTGCGTAGTTGCTGCGACAAATGGCTGACGTTTTAATCGTTACAACTTGGTGAAAAATTAACGAAGTCGCACTGCCAACCTGGACTCCGCTCGAATCATCATGAACGACGCTCAACCCCTTGCCGTACAATGACGAGTGAGACTCGCGACGAAGATTTCCAAACTAATTTAACAAGGATCAATGTTGTTCATTGCCCACGGATCAAAGCACACAACTGTTTCGCTATTATCAATGTGTTATATTCAAATGAAATTTCCACTCGAAGTGGAATAGAGAATTTTGTTGTATCTCTTAGAAATTGTCGATGGTAAAATATTACACGAGCTTAGTAACGAAAGTAAATAGTACGCCAAGGGGTTGAACATTGAAATTTATCAAACTGCACGGGTTGTGTTGCATTTATCGATCCTTTGCTCAGTTTTCTATCGATCCTTCGAGGACGACGCTCAACTCGGGGTCCCTGTTAGTTGTATATTATATCATTCAAACTCACAGATCATTCAGAGGTTTCTTTACACTTTTTTAAAAACACTCTTAAGTTTAGGATACTCGAACAATGAAAAAAAAGAAACAATGAGTTTTTCCTTGTTGCATGCTACATACGTGCTCAGGTCCTCAGCTATCGTATATCGTTGACTTTTCCGGTAGCGTGTCAATAAGCCTAACGTGGAACTGTTTGGTATTCGATGTTAATAACAGAAATGAAAATAATTTAGACTAACGTGGCTAGTTTCGATTTATAAATTATTTTCCGATTATTCACGTATTTTTCGCTTAATGCGACTATTTTTGATTGTTACGTTGATGCTCGATTAACGGTATTATTTCCGATTGTTAGGGCGTTGGATACGTGTCAGAAGATGTACCGGACAGCATAGCCATACTTAACTCCTCCTGCGGGCCGAGAATATCCTGGCTGACGTTGGGCTGGAACACTACGGCCGATAAGGACAAGCTAGAGAGCAGTTCGATCAAGTTCACTTTCTACAGTGATAATGGCACTTCCATGCTTGACGTCGTCGATGCTGACGTTTACGTGAAACCAAATAAAGAGCTGGACGATGTCACGAGTACGTTATCCGTTTAAAGGATGATTCTGGCCACAGGTCCCATAGATTCGTCGATACTTGTACTATTAACATTCCCTTTCGTTCCTTTCGCTCTCCTTAACGGAGACAACGAACGGCAGTTTCTATTTTCTTCATTACTGTATTCACTTCAGCGTTAGCAATTTATTTTCTTCCTACTTCTTCCAATACCGTATCTATTCAGAATCGAATTATTCGATCGTTCAGGGGATTTCGAATGAAAAAAGCGACTGTCGCTCGTGATTTCGTCTTATTTCCGGGAAGTACAATGAAACTACCAAACTTGAACGCTGTTTTACGAATTCCGATTTTCGAAGGAAATTCGGCAAGAAGAGTAGGACCGTTCCTCACTTTCCTACCGGAGTGGACAGAGTAAATTTCTTTTGTTCCTCGATGAATTTGCAGGATACACGGATGTCAGATCCAATCTCCATGAATTCGTCACTAACGTGTCAAACGGCGAATACAAGTGTTCTACCGAGAGGAAGATAGCCGTGTCGAACAAACTGGTATTGAGCTTCACCGACATTTCTTTAATAACGTTCAACACTGAAAAAGACTATTCCAAGCGGACAGGTAAGACACAGGATGCTCTATACCGTGTGAGAAACGTCGAGCAGCTTCGATGTAGAGTCATTAACTTCACGCGCAGTCCCCGGCGTAAATTCAGCAGAAAACTTCACTTGAATCTCATTGAATAGAAGGTTCTCCTTTATTCTTCGAAACTTGTCTTCAACGCTCTGAGTCAAAATGAACTCCTGACGCCTTCTCTCGCAATTATTGAAAAGATACGAACGCTGCAGGAACGATTACTAGATAACTCGCACGTTACCGAATCAACTTGCTAAAGACAAGATTCGAGAAATAGAGAAGAATTTTCTACGGTTTCTCGCCTGTTCTTTCGAAGATATCGCAGAGATACAAATTTTACAGGCGTGGTAAGGAATAATAGTGAAATCCGTTGGCCATCTATTTTTCTTGCGTATCTGTCATTTTTTAAAGAAACGCTGGTCGGCAGGGGTACACGTTTAACGAATGGATATCAATATTTTAGCGGTTCAGTGTTCTGACAATGGACAAGATTCAAGTTCAACGACGACAACAACAACGCCGGCACCCACACCTCCCGCCTATTCTTTTAATTACGTCGTGCACGAGAAAAGCGGTGTCGGTTGCATTTTGGCAAACATGAGTGTGTCTGTAACGATATCCTATGAGACGAAGAGTTCTAAGGTAAGTGAACGCTGGAATCCTACTTACTGGGGAAGCTATGGTACCACGTTCAAACAACAAATACACTGTTCTTTCGCGTCTATGAAATTGCAGAATAAAATTCTATAGACGTTAAAGAACAATTTATTTCCCATTTAAACTGTTCTTCGCTGTCTGTTAGAATTTTGAAGATAATCCACGGTACAGAAACGTTTACATGGTTTTCAAGGGGCGGTTTCACAGCTTCGAAGTGAATTTCGTCACGAAAATAAAATTGCAATGTATTAGGCTCGACTTACTCTACTTACACGCAATGTTTCATGATCTTTTCGTAACATCGGGGTTCGATAACTTCCCTTGTTAGTCGCTAAGTAACTGTTATCGCAGAAATAATCGTTCTGCCTTCAACTTTCGAGAAATTTCATTTCAAAGGAGCAATAATCGAGTCAGCACTTCTTTTTCAATTCGTTGCCCTCTGGTCGCGAAAGCTGTACGAACCTTCGCGAACCAAAAAATGGCCGCAATGGCTGTCACTAGAAATCGAATCACTCAAATCTAAGCGAAACTTGGAATCTAAGAAGGTTCATGTCCAAGGAAAATTCAGACCTGAGAGATTCGAATTTAACTGTTTGCACTAGGAAGTTTCTCACAAATCTTTAACATTCTCTGACAACGCAAAGACGATATTCCTTGGAACTAACTCGAAGATAGATCACAAGTATATCGAGGAACAAAGCTATTTTATTCCAGTTTTTCTTGTATCGAGATATTGTACAAAGTTCAAGGTTAATCATCAGAATGTATAGTTTTACTGCAAATCAAGTGACGGAGAGTCACCTTCCGAGTGCGAAGGGTTAAGACAGTTCGAATGTAGGGGAACTTGAAATTCAGGAAAGTTCAAATCCAAAGGAAGCTCAGATCTAAGAAGAAATTGATATTCGTTGGGCAACGTTGTAATATCGACGATCGTTTCATTGGTGAATCTTTAGACGGAGAAAGGCACCATCATAGTGCCGCAGAAGGGGATCGTTACCGGGTATTGCACTAAATCTAATGCCACAATGGAGATAACCTGGTTGGAAGAAAAGAAACCGGCGACGATGGCGGACACCGTCAAACAGAATTCGGTCAAGCTATGGTTTACAAAAGACGACCTGTCGTATTACGTTAACGCGATCGACGCGACCATTTTCATGGACGAAACACACTTCAAAGACGCTAAGAGTGAGTACACCGAGAAGAACACGAAGCTGAACGGACTATCGAAGAATCGCCAGATTGTCATGCGTTGACAAAGCGTAAAGTTAACACATTGCGTACCGGTTAATTTTCAAAAAACTGAATTGTGACGGCAATTTTCACTGAGGTCAACTTATTTCACTGTACATAGAGAAACTCGGATATCATATTGTTGTGTAATATATTTTAACACGTTCGCTGCCATGAGAATTTTAGGCATTCTATACAACGTTCCTTATTCTTTTATAACAATGACAAATCTTGTAGTAACCCACTGTTAGCATAAAACGTGTGATTTCATTCGTACTTTCAATTCATTTTGCTTTATGTTACGATACATTTCAAATACAACCAAGATTGTACCAAACTGGCAATCTCTTGCTACGAGTATATTCGTGCCAGTGAATGGGTTAAACAGATAATCAATTCGAATTGAATTTTATATTTTTTCAATGCTGTGGTAATTAGCGAAGAATTTTCACTGAGGTCAACTTATTTCACTGTACATAGAAAAACTCGGATATAATATTGTTGTGTAATATATTTTAAACAGACAATCAATTCGAATGAAATTTTATATTTTTTCAATGCTGTGGTAATTAGCGAAGTTGCATAGCTAAGTGTCTTTATATGAAAACGAGATTTCTCTTTATCGGTACGCAATGTGTTAAAATTAACGGAAGCTGTTAGATCTCTTTTTATATTCACCATATAGAATCTTAACTTAGAATCATTTTTAAGCTTAAACCTAGAAAGGGGCGCACATATACCGCTGACTTAGTTTTACAATCGTTATAGGAAAAGTCGAGAAGTCAAGCGGGCGATTAAAGTTAACAAAAGAATGTTCGATTAACACGTTGCGGCACGATCTCGCCGAGAAAAATATAGAAAATGAAGATAACGTAGCATCAACTTACGTGATTGAATTACCTTATTATTATTGCAGGTTTATCTCGTCGAATGTCAGTGCATTAGTTATTACTTGTAATATAGGGAAGATTTCAAGTAATCATGGTTTAACACTAGAACTACCGGATGGGTCAAAACGACTTATTTCTGATTCCTTCTTTTACAATTACTGAGAAGGTACGGGTACTTCTACGAAAAATTATTAACCAAGCTAATTCGGTAGAATCAAAACTGAAGTACAACTCAATTGAAGTCTTAATAACCGCACGTTTGCGGTTTCTATACGGAAATCGGTGAAAGTCAGTTGAAGTGATCGGTAGTTCTAGTGTTAATCGAATGAATTGTGTTAAAATTTGAATAGGTTTTCTTCGATATTCTCGGTTAGACTTATGTTAATCGCGACCGCCAATCGCGATAAAACTGATTGGCGCGACCTCGAACGAATTGAATGATAATAAGAATATTATCATGTCAGATGAAAAGGAGACGATTGCGATGGAGAATTTGAATCTGTTCACAACGTCCGCGGACTGCATGAACAAATGTGCACCGGAAACCATTGCATCAGGCAGTAAGTCGGAAGTGAAGTTCACCGACGTCGCTTTGATCGCGTTCAACGCCAAAGAGAAGATCGAGGGCATAACGGGTGAGCAATAAATATCTCTTTCTATCCGGAAGAATTGCTTTCCACCAGCTGCAAGGGTTTTTTTTAAACATGATCGAACCGTTACAGAGGAAAATTGCGAGTCCTCGAACGCCGGAGCAATCGTGGGCGGTATCATAGGAGCGCTGGTAGCGATCGCTTTAATTGCGTTCCTAATTGTCCTGTGGAGGAGGAGGTCGCGTTAGGGAATTGTATCGGCATCGCCATATCACCGCATGCAGGTCAAAGTGATCGTGCGACACACGAGTCTTCTGGTGAAAGTGTGTTGAAGGATGCGCGACGAGTCCCACGCCTGGGCAACACTAACGCATCGAAATAAACAAATGCACAGTTACCATTTTGTACATGTTGCTAGAATAAATTATTTGAAAATGAAATTACTCTGTTGCCGATTCCATCCGTCATTTTGCATTCGCTCGCACGATCGTCCCTTGAAATACCTCTTTTCCTGTGGATCGAAAGATTAAATTAAAATGAGCGGTACATCGATACGTGTCGTTCATGAATGGATTATTCGTGGTTATTCGTCATGCAAGATATCAATACCATTTATCAATGTATTAGTCATCGATAACATAGCTTAAGAAATTCGAGTGAATTAATATTGAGTATTTCCACGTCGTTGCATTGTTATCGTAATTACTTACTGTATCGTTATGGTTTTACATCACGATGTGTGTGTTTATTCGTAGAACCGAATCATTCGAGTCTCACGAAAAAAGGGGGTGCGGGTGATAATGGAATGATTTTCATTCCACCGCGTGACTCAAGTGGATCGAGCGGTTAATCGTCAAAATAATAACAGGAAATCGTTAAGAACACGCCAATCAATTTTTGACGCGAAACAAGTAAGATCTGATCTCGTGTGGTCAGGAAGAGGTGGGGGTGCGTAATCTCTCGCATTTTTAACGTTCGCGACAGACTTTCTCCGTCATTTTCACAAGTTTTTCTAGCGAGAACAGAGCGTCAGTAATTGAAACTGCCACGCTTCGGCAGGAGGGCACGTGTCTTTGGATCCACTATGAATCGAAGCCATCTACGTTTTCTAGCGTTGACAATACTAACTGCTGCGGGTAAGTGTACAGTGTGTCCTATGCGAGTGAATCATTGTCTCACCTCAAATCTATGATTTCTTGACGCGCCCAGAATCGGCGTTCGTCAAACTACTCGTGCAATCGAAGCGCTAACGAAGTTGCAACTGAGTTCAGATTTTTCCTCTATCTCGCAGATCCAGCAGAAGTCTTTAATCATTAAGTCATTAACCTTTAATCCCTTGTCCTGTGATAATCGTGTCAGACGAACATTTTCAACTGAATTCGATGAGTCGAACTGTTACTTTCTTTGAGTGCGAATTGAACGTTGCTTCTCTTTTCCGAATAAATTGCCGAATTGTTTGAGGCGTTCACGACCAGATAAGGTATCAGTGAAAAATCAATGACTCGGATCCTTGATGATGCCAGTTGCAATGCTAGCAGAACGTCGGGAGATCCCTCGCGCACGAAAACTTCGAACGCTTGTCAACGATAAAGTATGCTTCGTCAGGCATGATTCTTTTTGTGAAAGAATCATAGGACATAGGTTAAATCTATACAAGAAATTATTGGAAAATGTCAAAATGATCAACGTGTATCGCTGTTCTGATCTTTTAGCCTCGTGCTACGGGAATGAAGTGTTCAACGGTGACGCAACGGTACCGACGTCGACTGCGAAAGAAGAGGAACCGACGTTACAGTTTATGTACAAAATCGTCGACAGGAGAACGAGCGTACCATGCACCCTGGCAAATATGTCCCTCGCCATTAACGTGGGTTACATAACGATAAACAACGAGGTACAGAAATTCTGTCGAAATTTTGGGCGACGATCAACGTTCAGATGGCGTTGCCCGGACACGTTTTGAATGACAATTCAACGTTAACCCTCCGTGGACTGAATGTTTGTTCGTTGCTATAGAAAAATTTATGTGGTATGATATTAACGAATATCGACCTATAAATACAGATTAACAATGTATTCAATAGTTTGACCTATCATTTAAAAAATCAATACACTTTATACGCAAGATATAACCGACATTTCCGGTGGCACGCGTAACGCGTTAAATACGAATAACAATTTATGGTAACAGACAGCAACGAGGGAACTGAGAGTTCCAAGCGACGCCGAAGTTTCCGGCGATTGCGGGCCTACTATGTCCAAACTAATGTTCACTTGGGGGAAGGAGAATCAAGAGAACAGCGTAAAGTTCATATTGATCGACGATCACACCCATTTCTCGGTTTTCTCCGTTGCCCTGCAACTATATTTGGATCCGGAGAATTTCCCGGACGCCGCAGGTACGGTTGTCGAAATTTCTAAACATTAATTGGTAAACGTTTACGGCGATGTTGATCGATGAAATTACACGTATCTTAATCGTCCGTTTTCGACCGGTTAACTGTGGAATTTAGTTGGAAACACCTCTGGTTCTGCGCGCAATAAAATCGAAAAATGGAGCGTGCACTCGTCGAACGCAGGACGAATGCACGTAGAGTATATTTCAATGAGAGAACAAAGCGAAACAAAGAAGAATTACACGTTTACGTGGAAAAATGAAGAATTCCTCGCTGATACTCGCCAAACACAGTTAACTGGTTAAACTTCTAATTTCGAGGATCGAAACGATCGAACATCCATGTTTCTGGGAACAATGGGCTAAACCGTTCGTGGTCCTTACATTTAGTGTTTATAATTGTTCGTTTAATTGTTCAATTGAATGAATTCGTCACTGACAAATGACACTCGTAGAACAACAGCTATCCAAGCAGAAGTCCAACAACGATCTCGGTTTATTCTACGCTCGCGCGAATGACGGTCGGCACACGTGTCTCGGCGAGACGAAGATCGAAATCGGCGAGAACCTGAATCTAACGATGACTAACGTCTCCTTGATCGCGTTCAACACCATGGAGGATTATTCCTCTCGGAAAGGTAATCGAACGGTGTTAATGGTAATGTGTAAACGATCTGAACGCAGCTGATCACGATTTCCAGAGGTGACGTGCGAGGAGCAAACCGCAACGAAAGCTTTCCCTTACGTTATTGAGGATGATACGCAGGAACTTAAATTCCTGGCGAGGATGAGGGTCTCCCTGGATGTCTCTTACGCGACGACGAATGGCTCGGTGCGTATCAATGGCGCTTAGCCCTAACCGTACCACGTGCTTTTAGAACGAATCATGCCACGACGCGACTCTCAGTCACTAATGAGAATAAAAGGAATGATTAAAATGTTATTACTTTTGTTTGTAGGGCCGAAGTTTTCGGAGCGAGAAAACTTTCGGAAATGCAATATGAAATAATGAGAAAATTTCAGTGAAAAGTTCAAGTGTGACTGAAAGTCACATCGTGGTCGGATTAGGGTTAGTAAGTAAAGTTTTCGAAGTTTCATTTAAACGGCTTACAATCTTCATCGCGTCTGATACAATATCGTACGGCGAATGGTTCGACGGGGGCGTTGCTCAACGCGGCCATTTGTTGAGCATTGTTGGCATCGACGTGCTTTTGTTTCAGATCAAAACGGTGACCATACCGTTCGACGACTTTGCTCATGTGAACGGATACCTTTTTACAATTAATGATGAACTATCTGGCCTATTAAAGTTGACATGGTGGAAGTACGAGCGTTATTACTTCTCGATATCATTTTCTATTCGTGGAACGTACCTAAGTGATATCTACATTAGCAAGGTGCAGCTATACCTCGTTTTAAAGAAGCAATTCTTAATCGACGCGAAAGGTGGGTTTCTAAGCTACATTTTATTCTGACACATGCTGCCTCGAGAGTAACGAGTATGACAATGCTCTCGAACAGTCAACGCAACATCTACTTGCGAGACGTGTTCCCGAAACTTGTGACAGTTTTGCTACGAAATGGATACTTCGCTTTAACGGTGGAGTTACGGTTTCTGATAAAAAAAAGATGCCATCTTAGAGATCGACGATGAACCAGTAATCTGATTCTTTCTGGTCGTTTTTTTATATTATCTTTGTAGAACTCAGGCTTCATTTCTTTGCTTAACTATTGATCTTAACGCCACGACGAAGTAATTATTATTGAATCACCTTCCGCGCTCAACGCTATGATTACCGCGACTCTCAAGAACTACGGTGACCCTAATTTTTCGATCAGGGACTGCGGAACAATAACATTGATTTTTCGAAATTTTTCGAAATACTTCTAATCAGTGCTCTACACTGTTCCAGATTCGTTCGAACGCGAAGTGACTTGGCGTTCCGGTTTGTTTCCCATGGAAGACATCAGCGTACTTTACACTTGCCCACACCGGACCTTACGCTTCGGCGACGTGGCCCTGACGATCAGCGATATTCTCCTAGCGACCGAATTATTTTCAAGTTTTTCACGAAAGACAGGTAGAGAAATATTAGAGTGAGTCGAGGAAAGGTGGCCCGTTTTTCCGAAAGAGCTATTTTATCATAAATATCATCGACGCCGAACGAAAATGTGTACAATGGGCTTGAGAAGTTCTGCACGCTAAAACTGGATTTAAAGTTCTCTTAATCTTTAATTCTCTTTTAGCGTGACTTCCCCCCCTCAAAGTCTGTCGTGTGCGTGGCAAACGACACAGCAATCATTGAGTAGTATCACGTTAATTTTTCAGTTACCGATTGTAGGACGCAGAGCGACATAAAAATGGAGGATTTCAATTACGTCGTGGAGGGAGAGCACATGCCGTGCATTCTAGCGAACATGTCGATCTCCTTGCAAATACGATATGCTTATAACGTGAGCCAACGAAATGCGAAATTCTACAACGCGCTGACATCCGAAGGAAAATTGGTAAAATCTCGTTCCTTTCCCCAGAGATTGGCCAACTTGACAGTGCCGAGCGACGCGAAAGCCGAAGGTTTCTGCGATCATTTCATGTCCAAAATGGTGCTGACGTGGACGGAACCGGAAGCCAACCAACAATCGAACAGCCTCGCGCTTTATCTGTCGCGAAACTCGACCGCGTTCTCCGTATTCTTCGTCGAGGCTAATATTTATTTCGATAAGGGGAATTTCCCGAATGCCATAGGTAAGATCTCGAGTTCTATTATTCGTAGTGTTAAATATTTTAACGAACAATCTCGATTTGAGAGGACTACCCTAACATTATTGCACTTCCTGCACACGATTTCGCCTTTAGGAAGAATATGAAAAGATCGGTACAAGATTCTTTTAATTTTCGAGTGCCATTAACATTTCGTACTCGAGAGGTGACTCTCAGTCATTCGATTTGATGTAACAAAACCACGAAGTGTTATATATAGTATTAAGTTTCGTACAATGCATCGATATGTGAAATATTTCGATAGAACAGCTTTTCCACGTATATTTTCTCATTAGTTCGTTTCAAACAGTGTCATCTATGTCTCATCGGAAAGTGCCGAGTGTTTCTAAGCGAAAAGCTCTCGAGTACAAAGGTTGAAAATAACTCGTTCATGATACGTTACTATTATTTTAATCTTCGCGATGCATAATGTTTCATCTGCTTTAGACGCGGATAAACGGTTCCAATTTTCATCGACGCGCGATCTCGATATATTCGCCGGTCCCGCGGAGAACGTGCTTTTCCAATGTATGGACGATTTCGAGGTGAACATGGGAAAAGCGGCGGTAAACATAAGCAACGTCACGTTGGCACCGTTCAACGACCAAGAAGACATGAACGTGAAACAAGGCAAGCATTTTGTGTGAACCTAATAATTTCCTTAATGGAACAGAAATCGAAAGGTCGAGATCTCTCGGGGATTGCTTCCTCGACCTTGCGTCTCGCGGATCCAATGAAAATTTCGTCTGCGCGACGAGTCATCGGGAAAAATAAGTTACACGCTTGTACATAGAATTGCTATTATAATTGTTCTTTGATAATATTTGCAGTCTCTACGTTGAACTAGTTAAGAGACATTGACAGAAAATCCCAATGTTGCAGTGTATGTTTGCCCTGACAAGTCGACCACCACTGAATCGACCATCACTGAATCGACCACACCTGCTGTTACCACTCCCCATCCCTCTGAAACGGACTACATGTACGTTCTGAGATACACCGATAGAAACCTCGCTTGCATTCTAGCGAACATGACCGTTTCGTTGAGGATCCGTTATGACACCGTATCTTCTGGAGTAAGTAAAGACCGGACTCCTGTTTCGAATCATTCCGGAATAGTTCGATCACACTCGCACGAAGTTCATTTAACTCTTAACTCTTTGCACTCGAGAGTATTTCTCTCAATAAATATTCATTATTTTCCGATGAGATGTCAATGATACTTTTCGCAACTAACACAAAGAAATACCTCGCATGAATTAAGTTGTAGAAAATTTAATATTGAATTTTCCATTTTACAATATTCTTGGGTAAAATCAAATGGCGACTGAGAGGCGACTCTCGAGTGCAAAGGGTTGATATTTCATGCCGAGAAAACCCGGCGCATTTGAACGATACGCGCTCAACTTTTCAGACGCGTGTACGTCGCATCGTTACTTTTTCCGCGCGTAAGTAATACATTTTCTATTTCGTTGTTATCTATTATGAATTAATACATGTATATTGTAGTATTAACATAGATTTCGCATCTCAGTCAGAAAGCGCTATTGCGCCGCTCAGCTTTTCTCGACCGTGTTTCCTTGAAAACCTCTGGTACACAAACGGTTCATCTAATCTTCTCGCGCTTCGATCAAAAGCATTAACCGTTTACACCTCGCAGCGTCTGTTCGTCGTATAAGGATTTATTCGGTCAATAATAATTCATTTCGTCGTCGGCACAAAGTTCGTCTCGATACGCTGTGCGCTTTCCTTTATTTCTTTTTCGTCATTCGTTCAGAAACAACGCAGCGTCGCAGAGCAGTTGCCCTCCTCGAATACACGCACGCACATACACACGCACATATCCTTATAATACGCACGTTGCATATTTTCTAACGATTGTAAGATATACCTGTTTGTCGTAATATAAACGATCGTTGCTGTTTAGAGGAAGGAAACCATTCTGCACGTGCCCGTGGAAGGGGTTAAAATCGAGGGCAACTGCGGGAACACGATATCTAACCTGAAATTGGTCTGGTGGGAAGTTTCTGAGGCTACCCAGGTTACTCGGAATGAACTTAAATTGTTATTCATGAACGACGATAATTACTTCTTCCTCCGTTCGGTTGTTGCGAACATTTATTTGGATACGAAGAATTTCCCCGATCCGAAAGGTAAGATCGCAAGATTTGTCCCACAAGCAATTCTTCCTTTTAAGTTCGAAGAAAATGGTTTTTTCTCGTTGAAAACGTCTTTAACGCGTTCCCTGCCAGACCGTTTTTTGAAGACTTTCCGTTCAAGCCGGAAATTGTCGTAAATCTAGCGTTGAAGTGGAATATATTCAGGTTCCTTGGAAATATTGCTAAACGTTTATTCAGTACGTACATGTAAATACTTACACGAGTGCGAACGTATCCGCGTTGAAGAATGTTATTTCTACTAGTAAAGTGGATCATTAACGCGTCAACGCGTTGATTTCCACGAGAATTCTCCTTGTTTTCTACCGGGCGTTCCACGTGAAACGAGCCACCTGAATATATTCTCTATTTATATATCTCTTGTCTACAGCGTGACTTTGATCTAGATTTAAGATTCAGAGGATTTGTATCTAATCTGCTACTATTCGACACCTTCATGGGTTGGAGGCAAAGGTGCGACCATGAAACCGTCGTAGAAAGCAATTACAACGGTTTCCAAGTAACGTTCAACGACGTCGCTTTAATCGCTTTCAACACTTACACAGATGTTTCTGAAAAATTTGGTAAGCTGGGTTTAACAAGCGCATGTGCATTACACTGTGAACAAACAGTAAGTGCAATCAACTTCGTCGATGTTTCAGAGAACACATGCCTGCCTCAAGTTTGGTGCCCGTCTAGGTCTCTAATAATCGGGGCTTATGTCGTGGGAAGCATTGCCGCCGCTTTGGTTGTGATAGTGCTCGTAGCAGGGATAGTAAATGGAATTTATAAGCTCAAGGAGAACAATTATATGTGTGGAAAATAGAGGCGGGAACTTACTTTTCCATTACCTCGACGCTCGATCGAATATCCTCGTGTCAACAGCCGACTATCAGTCGCAGCGTTAATCCTTTCAAAACTGACTTTATAAAATTGTATTCGTTTACCTAACAACAAAGGTCTGTTCAATGCACTGCCGGTCGTGGTTTGTAACTCATCGAGGCGAATCGGATCGGTGAATCAATCGAGTAGAAATAGGAATATTAGTCGTGTTTGCTATGTTATTATAGAAATGAGCATGATGATCGTCCATAATACTTCATACACCTTCCCTACGCTTACTCCAACGCGTCTTCAATTATTTCAAACCGTTGTTCGCTACCAGCGTGTGTTAGAATCGGAGCGATCGTGCGCAAACGTATTGATTTCGTGGCTGGTCTAAAATAGATAATTTGAGCTTTGCGTTTAAAACGGCAAGCTCAGCTTGGAAATTCGGATGTGTTTTTTATTATCAGTCTTTAAGGTGTCTAATTTCAGTGGTCAGCGTATCTTAGATTATTATATTTCGTTCGTGTATCGTGTTCAGTTCGAAATCCATAGAAACGAAGCCATTCGGATCAGATCGTGCGGGATGTTTCCCTTGTATTTTTATATCCACGATGATAAGTGTCATGATCATTCGTACATGTACGTAGAAAAAAGACAGATCAGATTATTTTCACTTTCCAAAAACCGTTTGGAAATGGATTCCAGGTGCCGGAGGATTTGTCCGACGCGCGGGGGAGGATTGCGGGGGCCGCGTCGACGCGATTGCATATGGCGGTGGGAAACCGTGCCTGTTAATTATCCCGGTTTAGGAAACAATTCGATGCATCGGCCACCCCTGGCGTCCCGTCACGGTTACGCCCACCCCAATTATCCTGTTACCCGGCGGACTCCGATATGCGTTACGTCACGTGCAGCCCCGTGTGAACCGGAAATCGATTTGAATGCGAAATCGTGTAACTCGACGCCGAACGGCGGCCACCTTCTCGTCGAAACGTTCGAAAATTCAGCTGGTCGACGGACTGTAATATACTTAAATGTTGATTTTGATGGTGCCCGTTTTCCACGCTCTGCCACGAAACAACTGCACTCCGGTGCAATTCAGACTACGCCGACGATTGAAACTTATTACAAGATAAACGTAGAATTCGGTTGGCTCTTGATATACGTCGATTCCTCCACACGTGGAGTCTCCAATGGAGATTTTTGAATAATTTGTTCTTGCAAGTTGTATGAAACGGTGAGCTGTGTATTAGTTCTCATACGTACTGGTGGAATTTGAAGACTCGAAATTTGGAATTTGAAATTCAAAATTTGGAATTCTGAGATAACTTCGAAATAAGTATTTCAAGCACAGCTCGCTACATTCCCGCATTCTCCAAGTAAACATACCGGATGAACGATAGCGTACCTAGATACTGATCTAGAAATAGGCGATGGAAAGCGTTAAGCCGGTTTCCCAAAGCGCGCGCTACCGGAAAATGATCGTATTTCATAGTGATTCCGGCTGAGGCTGCATCAAACGTTGGACACACCCCCTCATTTAGCACCTGGATATCATACCGTAAACGACAGATGCGGCAATATAATCCTCGATTATCTGCGTTAATTGTCGCGCAAGAATGTGCACGATCGGAATTCCACGCGGAATGAAATTCCCTGCCGCCCGTGGGAACTGGGCGTAGATCGAAGCGTAATCTATTGCAATGCCGGAACTAATCCTAACTATCAATTTCCCTTCTATATTTAGCAGTTATCTAATCAACATATTATTTCCACATGAAAACCTGCCAGTTTTCGACAGCGTAACGAAGAAGCACGGTTGTGCTTGTCAAATGGTGAAAAGTGATACTTATACGTCTTTTCCAGAAACAACTGAGTTTCGCAATGATTTCGCGTCCACCGTTTAACACTAGAACTACCAAATGAGTCAAAATGATTGTTGACTTCTTTCATAACTATTGAAAAGATACAAATGCTACTCGAAGTAACGAAGTAACTTGATTAACATGATTGAGAGATAGTCCAACTGACACCTCAATAAACGCATTTCTATAATCCTTATAGTAAAATAACAAAAATCAATTTGACTGTTCAAAAAGACGTGACATCGAATAAAGAGAGAGCAAGTATTTGGATGGAAATATGGAGACCCTCGTATCCGAACGTTCAACAACAGATGGTTCGACCAAACAAATTCTGATCGTGACGATTATCAGCCGACACCTAGATTTAAGCGTGTTAACAGATTTACGTAATTTCGCAATAAAAAACGAACGACATCCATGGATAATTCAACAGCCTTTCAGTTACCGAACATTACTCCAGAAAACGATATTTACTAAAACATATTGAAAGCTTTATGGCAAATAATCCATAAGTAGTCGAGAAGTTACTTGAGAAAGTGTAAATACCCATAATAAAATTCATCTTTGGCTCAGCAAGCAAATAATCTTAAATTTGACTTGAGGTCTGTATAATCATCAAGCACCGCAAGAGAAAACGAACGATATCCATGAATAATTCAACAGCCTTTCAGTTACCGATCATTACTCCAGAAAACGATATTCACTAAAACATATTGAAAGCTTTACGACAGATAATCCAACTGAAAAGTGAATAAACATATTTCTATAATTCTTATAGTAAAATAACAAAAATCGATTTGACTGATCGGTAGTAGTGTTAAATATCGCAGTGACGTGCGACTGCAACCGAGCAGCAGTGCATTTGTCGTCGAATAATAGCCTGAGAAAAGAGGAAGACAGGCAGGTCGGCAGCGTCGATCGGAAGACGTCCGTTACGGAGCGTTTAAATACCCAGGCTGCCGGCGGAGTAGAATACAATGGCCGACTGTCGTCTGTGCAATATAATTTAAATGGCCAACACTTTCGATTACCTAGAACCTCGAAATCCCTCGAAACTGAGGTCAGCTTACCCGCACCGACAATGGCGATCCTTCGAGAAACGCCGCTGCCCCGTTGCAACCATCGATTGCAGGCACCTTGAAATTTAAAGGGACGAAAAGGTGCGCAGATGCGCGTCTTACACGATTTCCTGTGGTATACAGAGTGTCCCGTGCAACGCTTATCACGATTCTCCAGGCGTCCCCTCGAATTCGATAAAAAAGGCGCTTAAGGAAACTTAAGAACGAAATTTTAGAGAAAATCTATTTCTCGATGCAGAATCACCCTGACTTTTTCAAAACTATGCATCTTCGACGGGAGTACGTTGTATATGACCTTCGGGAGACCTTGAGTTCAAACATCAACATTCAAAGTATCCTGTATCATACTGAACTTCGAATATAATATGTATTTATGCAACACTTTCCGATAGGATACAGACGATCTTCTTTGAAACTAATTAACCCTTTATGGGCCGAATTTTTGTTCATTATTATAACAAAATCTATGCAGTACAAAATAGATATCCACGTATGAATACTAATTAACAATGTATTCGATAGTTTCAATAATTTCATCGAACGAATATATTTTGTAACTTTCAAGTTACAATGACGTTAAACTTTCACGCCTGAGCGTATAAAAGTTTAAGTTAACTGATTACTCAATTTTATTCACCACTTCGAGTGCAAAATGAAATAAATCAACAAGACGCCAATATACTGATATATGACTTTAAAGTTACATGGGCCTGCAGAGGGTTAACGAGGAAACATATGCGAATTAAGAAGGAAAGAGATTTTATATCAATATTCCACGCATTGATGCATTATACAAAGCTTAATGTTATATATAAGACTTTATAATTTTGCTGTGTCAAATCAAGTCGTGACTGAGAGTCACCTCTCGAGCGCAAAGGGTCAAAGATGGAAAATTTTTCAGTATTCCTTCGGAGTCGTGTCTGTTCGCCGCGGAAAGTCAGTTTTTCCCGCCATTTTCTAGTTTCTGGGAGCTTCCCGGGGGTTGAAAATCATTTCCGAAGGTGTCCAGAATTCATCAGGCTACCTGGCTCACCTTAGGACGCGTCAGCTGTTCCATGGGACGTCCCTTTAAAGTTTAAAGGTCCTGGAAACCCTATTATGCACCTCGTTCTTCCCTCGCCGGGTGTTTCTTTACGACGTCCATAGGACCGGTAAGCTGCGGAAAATACATGGGCCCCAGCACCTTTCTCTCCGAAGACGGCAAGTTCATGGGAAAATGGGGAGGACCGATTTTTCCAAGGTCCCCCGACGTCTGGCAAGTGTTCCTTTCATCGCATTGTGACCTGGCACGGTGCACACGCACAACACGCACGGTGCACGCTTCAATTATCGTCCTCGTAGCCACCGAGACTCCATGTAAATACTCCACCCGGCTGCCAGCCGTGAGAAACATCGTTGATCGCGTTTTCCGGCTGATTAGTGTACAAACAATTGTACACGTAACTGTCTCCGTTCACGATTAGACATTTATTCCTGTTCTTTGTATCGATACAACAGCTTCATCGCTAATAATTAGCGAAGAAAGAGACAAATTCTATGCATACTCTATGTCTACGTTTGCACTGCAATAGAATCATTGATAACAGAAGAATACTATCTAATTATAATTCAAAGTAATCGAGTAATATTTATGTTTGTTAAATTCTATTTAAAATCTTCACCACGAGTCTCACGTTATTGTTAAGACAACGAACGATACAGTTGTCAAAATGATTATTTTCAGAGAATAGAAGGTAGAAAGTTCTAATGAGGTGACACGCAGGAGTCAATCCTGGCACTAGCATTTGAGAACATTTGGAAAATCGAAATAAATCATAATAGAGTGAAATGTTTCGTTAATGGCAAAAGAATCGATCAATAACTACATTGTTTGTCGTCTGGTTTGAAAACATTGCAGTTATGGTTAATTATGGTTATCCGTATGAAATATTGGATTTCAATTCTGTCGAAGTTCTATGCTCGTTAGACACTCGTATTAAAATATCCATTTAACAGATCAAATAATCCATGTATTGTAACAGCTGTCGAAGTCGCATTCTAAAATTTACATTGTTGGTTCAACAGTTATTGCAGGGTAGTACTAGAATTTAATTAACCACTGCAGTCTTCGACATTTGTAGGCACA